CTCCACGGCCAACGTCTCGGAGGGCTCAGAGGACAAGTTGTTGGCTCCCTCATTCTCTTCCGGCTCGGATGGTTGTGATGTCTCACATGACGCCAACATCACCTCAGCTTGGTCATCGAGCACGTTGAGGACATATTGTCCAGCTGAGTTCACCTGAAGAGGACGTGCTGTGCCTCCTTGGATCGATAGAGTCTCACCCTCAAAGTCCAGGATGGCCTTGAGGCTCTTGAGTGTGCTTCTGCTCAACAACAGGGGAGCAGCCCCCTTGATGATTGCAGCTTCGACTCGGCCAATCCTGCCATGGATGCACACAGGCATTGATACCACTCGCTCGGACAACTCTTCATGTCCATTGCCGAACATGAAAAGGTTGCGCTGATGCCTAGCATCTGGCACCATGAGACCTCGGGCTTGGTACAAGCGCATGAACTGGTTCAGGGTGTCCTGTCCTACCAGGGTTCGACTGCATCCGGAATCAAGGATGCCGTAGCCCGGCGATGAGACAAGCAGCACTTCTGACGGAGTTTGAGCCAGAGTGACTCGGTCCGTCACCATCGCTGCACCGTGGGATTCACCAGTTTTGGAACTTGATGAGCTTGCTGCCACCTTGGCGGTGCAATTGCGAGCCCAGTGCCCAATTTGATGACATCGGCGACACCGTGATCGCTTTTCCAGGTCTTTGACTTCCTTGCCAAAACGTTGCTTCACCTCGAAAGCCTGACTGAAGCGTCTTGCTTTCTGTAGGCGTGAGATTTCTGTTCTTTTCTCCTTCCAAGTGGCGGCCAGAACTTCGGCAATTTCTTCTTCATCATAATGATCGGCTGATTGGGCGTTTGTATCACCCATGCCGTGTTCGGCCAGGAAGGCCTCTAGTTCCTCGAAAGCCACTGCATCTGGTGCTTCGGTCTCTCCAGGTTCATCTATCACGTCATTGGGCTCGTCCTGAACCACGAAAGCAGAGGCACTTTTGAACCTGGTGGAACGAGTTGCACGAAAATCCGGAAAACAGCTGCGCATGGCAGTGATGATCAACTCCAGATTGAGCTCTCCTTGGGTCTTGGCGGTGATGATCGCCCGTTGATCCTCACTCAAACCTGAGGCGCGCAAACAAATCCAACCTTTTGCTTCACTTGGGAACTCGATGGCGACCTTCCGGCGACACTTGGAGAAGGTCTCTTGGACTCTGCTAGTCCATGCAGCCATTGTCTCTTGATCTTGCGCTTGAAGCTGGAAGATTTCCTTTAGGCATTCAGCGAGCCAATCGTGCTTGAGCTTGTCCGGAAAACGCTCGTCCAGGGCAGCCCAAACATATTTGTCTCCATTCTCTTCCTTCAGTTTGTCCAGCGACAAGTGCTCGACCGTTTCGAATGCGACCCCATCCAACAAACACAGAATGAACGGCCCGCGTTGGGCCGCAGTCATGTCCTTGGTGGATGCCATCTTTGCTTCAGCCCAGAGTTTCCAGCGCCGGTATTCCTTAGGATCCAGCGACTCTCCACTGAACCGGCGGGTGTTGCCGTATTGAGCACCCTCGGTTGCCATGGCTGCAAATTAAACAATTAGGGACACTGCGTAGCGTCTCAAACCAACCTAGGTTACGCTAGAAGGACCCCGGATGCCCCGCCCTGTGGCGGGGCTCCGCTACCAATTAGAAAACCCGGGCCTATTGGCCCCACGACTCTCCTGAGTCAAAACGCGCGGCCGCTCGGACCTTTTCCGACCTCGGACCGAGTTGCCTGCAAGGGTCAGGATGCACGAACGAATGCTGGATGAGGGACACTGCATTTTCATATATATACACTGGGGTGCTGAAAGTTGCGCTTCTTGACTTCTAAACCAGGGCAAACCCTTTCCCCTTAGAATCCTACGTGTAACAAGTCGACACCTACGTTGCGGTCAGATTTCCACACCTGAAAGCCTTATAAGTACTATAGATTTAAACGGGTGTGGAAATCTGACCGTGCTGTACCTGCCAGGCAAAATGGACGTGTTAATCCGATCCGCTGTAGACCGCAAGTGTCATGTTGGAACAGAGTAAGAAGCGTAAACTTTAGGGTTCTTGAAGTATATACTGTATATTTATATGCTCGTCGTGATGACTGACGCTGTTGTTTGATCTATGACTAGATTTCTTCGTTGAAGTCTCGTTGTTAGTGTCAATCAAAGAACAAACATCATGAAATCATGGTCACCTTCTTACATTTTCTTGGAAATTGTGTTGAAGGATTTGATGCTCCGACTAAGGAAGGGACGGGGTCGGCTTCTGAGAACCCAGCATCGCGAACATGAGACCGGCACTGCCGCAAGGTGTGTGTTTCGGCTTTTGCTCGAAACGTGGTGCGGTCTGAGGCAAAGATCGAGGCAAAGACAAAGGAAAAGTTGACAAAAAGCGTGAGATGGAGGCCAGACTGTTGGGTTTGTCGGCTGGACATGGAAACGCCAACTGATGGGTTTGGAAGATGGTATCGCTTTTGCCGGGGCGTGGGGGGAGCAGGGGTACACATTAGTTTTGGGCAGCGTAAGGAATTGTTCTTCTGCAGGTCACGTCCTTGATTTCTGCAGGTCACGTGTGACCATCAGCCGCTCGCCAGGAGCAAAGAGAAAAGGTCCGCGTGTGGCTGAATGAGAGGCGTGTGGCGGATTCCTTTTGAGAGTGTCACACCAAACGAAGCTGTTACATGCTGCATGATCATTTATGGTTCCTTTTGCCTCATGGATGACCGCATGCGGAAAGAGTCCCCTTCAGGCTGGATGCAAGTGGTCCTCAAGTGAGGCCCAAGGACGCCGCTCTTTGCAGATTTCAATGTTGGGAAGACTTAGAAGAGCAAGTTCCAGAATGTGTACAGAGATTAATAGTCAACTATAGTCAACTAGTATTCCAAATTCCAAAACAATATGTCTTTTGAGTTGATCATAACCACCAGAGTCTAAGACATTCTGAGACATTCTCGAGGACCTCACCGACGAGATGCATCAAAACTTTGGTGTCAAGCCGGGTCGCTTTCGACAGCTCTTCAACCAGACGCTGCAACAGCTCGGATCTCGGGGGAGCAGACGACCGCGCGAAAGCAATGCGAAGCTGATCACCGAAACGATGGATGCAGATGTGGTGACGAAGTCCATTTAACCCGAAACTGTACCAATAACCAAGCACAATTGATGTTGGCTTAAGCATTTGGACTGAAGGGCTTGGCAGGTTGAACGCGCTGAAGCCCCACGTTTTCTCCATCATGAGTTCCTCAAGAGGCCTCAGTTTGTCAAAGTCTCAAAAGGGAATGACACATTTGGAGGCCCTTGCCATCCCTTGCCCACGGTATGAGGGGGGAGGTCGGCAGTGTTGGACTGCACGAAGCCCTGCCGAGGTACATCAATACGTATCACAGCGGCGGTGCGGAGGCGGTGCCATCGATGCAATGGGCCTCGAAGCTGTTGAGCTAAGAAATCCGGAACCTGTCTGACATTTACAAAAAAGAGAACGCATGATAATATGATCATAAGTCACTAGTTCTTTATGTGCAAGGCTTGGTACATGCCCAAAGAATCCCAAAGGTGTTTTGTTGTTATTCTGCAAAAAGCACTGAATTAGTGGAGTTCAATGAGTTCAATACGCAAAACCATCACAGAGCGATTTTAGTTTGGGATCCCCAGGCTGAACGACGGAACTAGTGAGAAGGTCACATTCACCATTTATTTTGAAGATTGATATTTTCTACATTTTTCTACAAATTTCTAGAAATGCGGAATGGTTCTCACAATAAGTTTCTACATCTAGTATATGTTCAATCATTTCTGCATATTTCTACCATCAGTTACAGTATATGATTTTTGCTGTGAAGGGGGTGTCTACCAGGCAGCTTGGCCCAAAGCGGAGAATGGCCAATTTAGCAGCCGCACCGTGGAGGAGATTCACGAGACCAGATTTAGGGCATTGGCTCATGTTATTTCGGTGTGCTGAACGACTCATCCTGACTGGACGATCGAACTAAGATTGCTCACTCTACTTAGGGATCGCTTGGGAAGCTCCACCAATCGCTGTCGACCATTGGACCTTGCCCACTGCCCCAAGAGATTCTGGAGCAGACTCACTGTGTAGAATTGTCTAGATCTCCTGCCAAAGTACAACTTGTGCTAGATTCTAGATAAGAATGCAAGTGTGAATGCCCTGTAACAGATTGGCTTTGCACAGCTCCTGCCGCCTGCCTCGCAGGAAGACAAGGACATGAGAGCCCAACGGGCTGCCAGATTTTCGACTCACCTCAAGGAGAAATCAGCTCCAGCACACATCTGAGAGGAGTTTTGAGTTTGGATTTGTTTCCAGCGACGTTAATAACGACTGAGGAGTGCCCTAATTAGCATGTGTTTTTTTGTTGAATGTACTTGTCCCGCGACCTTTTTGCATCTTTTTGCGGGTCGGGCCTGTTTGTTGACATTCAGCAACATATGTTTCCGCCTGGCATCTATACCATTCTGCCAACAATAAAAGGTTTTGTGTGTTGTGAACATGTTGCCAATAGTGACTGGGTGTCCTGTACGACAAATCTCCCAGTTCACTCGTACAAAAATTGACTTTTCGTCGGCTTGCTTTGGTTAAGGTCTCAATGGTCAGCCTAGCAGATGCAGAGGCAGGTCTATGGGTGTCATGAGATCAAATTCTCATCTGTTTTGTGTTTGTTTTCTCCAACTGGGCATCTCCTCAACCAATGCAATGGTCAAACACCGTCAACAATCACAATTTGACGGATGATGAAGGCTCCTGACATTGGGGTGTTGTCATTTTCTATGACTGCCACGTATCAGACGCAATCCTAGTTGCATATGCCAAGCGGGATCTCGGATATAACGACTAGGACTATGACTATAACGGTTTACTAGGATTTTCAATTACCCTGGTGCTGTTTGTGGGAGTAGCATGAAAAAACATTTGTAGAGCCTGATGTGTTTTTTTCAGAGCCCAGGGCTACTTCAGGTCTCAAACCTATCTGTTAAGCCAGGCCGGACATATGGATGGCGGTCCAATCATCGGAGAGCTGAATGAGATGTGCTCCCGTGAAGAGGTTCGCAACAAAAGCACCCACATGGAGACTGGACCAGCAAGAGTCAGGAGATGTCATTTTCGTGATGAGAATCGAACAAAATGAGTCTATATAGAGAGTCTTTCTCGATCTTCATATGTCTTCCACCTTTGGTGAGTCTTCCAGTCTCGATCATCCAGCAGCTCACTTCGTCTTGCTCCGATCTTCCCCAGCCCCCAAACTGGGCCCGCCGTTCCCGCCGTTCCCGCGTTTGGGGCGCCAGGCGCGGGAACGAGAGATGACTCGGCAGCTGGACAAGTTCGAATGGAAGAAGGGTACCGATCCCAAGAACCCCGAGGCGCTCGCTAGTCGCTCGGTGGAGGGCGCTTCGCTGGGTTGTTTGGACTGGTCGAGTCGTCGGTGGAGTGGGGTCTCCGAGTTTGGTCTCGGAGTTTGCTGAGTTCTTGGGCTTGGCAAGTTGCTTGGTGCATCGCTCGATTTATTTGGTGCTTGGGCCAGGGTGTGCAGTCCGGCATGGAAGATCTTCAGCAAAAGAAGCCTCGATGACCATCCAGATCATCAACTAGTTGCTGATTCATTGAGGTTCCCCTCGTCATTCATCCTGAGTTGCGTTCGTGGAATGACCTGTCCTGTCGTCTGGGATCATTCTTCTGGCAGGTCGATTTGAGACGGGCCACTAAGAAATACCAGCGAAGCTCTGCTGACAAGGCCAGTAAATCTTGTGAGAACGAACCAGTTTGTTTGTGACTTAATATATTCTTCAGATAACAGAAGCATTACGGGCTTTGGGATGCATGCTTAGCAGGCAGTTTAAATTGCTCACTGTTCAAAAGCACTTTGCCTTGCTCGCGATGGTGCTTTCGTAAACATGTTGATCGGCTGGGATGTGTTTTCGGCGGAGGCATACACCAGTCAACAGACACGCTCACTCGATGCCTGTTGGAAGACCATGGAGTATTTGATCACGGAGACGCCATTCATCTCTTTTAGTGTTTGAAACCACTGACATCTGTTGGATAGACAGAGAGGCTGGGTCAAGAAATCCTTTGACCGTCACCCTTTCTATAGAGGCTGTTGACTTAATTGTGTTTGATGTTGATGCTTTTTTAGGACCGTTGATGCTGACCAAGCTCTCCGGTGAAATTGCTTGTAGATAGAATTACATATAATGACTGTATATACATGTATATAATACCATATATACCTGTGACGATTACCGATGATTTGTTTTGAACATTGAGTTGATGCATGGCATGGCTTGGAAGCACAGTGAAAAGACAATAGTACTGACAATAGTTTCAGGCAGAATTGGAACAGACTGGAGTCAACGCATGTGTTTTGTTTATTTGTTGGCGTCTTTGCTTGAACTTTCCTTTCAGGAGATTCTGGACTTTGACTGCAAGCCCAAAGCGGGCTATGCAATCCAAGCCGTTCCTTTCATCGAGGTGTGCATTCAAAGCTGTTGGTGTTTGTGGCTATCTGATCTGAACAAACTTGGACCACCACATGGTTTGATTGCTTGTACTGCTGGTACCATGTCCCTATACGCCAACAGCACATGTAACAAGGTCAAGCAGGGCGGGTTTCGAGACGCACCCGGCGAGACTCGTGCCGGAGCGGAGCGGCTCCAGGTCTACTCCTACTTGCGGGATCGGACCCGTGCGATTCGGGCACCGGAGCTTAGCGATTCGACCCCGTCACGGCGAATCGGGTGTTGTTCGGGCCATGGTACGTCCTGCCTTTCTCGCTGTGACACGACGTCTCTTTCAGAGCGATGGCCTCGCTAATAGCGATGATGTCCAAAAAAGAATGATGACGGTTAAGACTGAGGCTTTGGGGAGTATGAAGAGGTCAGGACCTCCCCCTGTAAACCCAAGGCATTTCCGACCATCATACACCCGAAATAGTCTGAACATGATTGCCAAAAGATCTGGAACAGATTCATTTGGGTCGAATTCCCTCTACTCAGGTCGACCTTCACTTGCAGCAACCTCGAAGTACTACGCAGCGGGTGTTTGTGGAAACTCATGAGCCAAGCTGGCATGCTTTGGTCAGAGTAGCATAGAGTCCAGCCCTTAAGTTAAATAATGTTTCAGTGGATGCTTCAAAGCTCATTATATAGCCAACATGCATGATAGAATGGAAGTTGCAGTGCCTCTGCGGAATCTTGAGCTGCCAAGCCAGGTGCTGTTTGCGCTTTGAGATGCTGTCGCTCTTTTTGCTGTTGGGCAGAGGGCAGAAGCAAGCTGACTCTGGGCCAAATTTGACACAGCTTTGATGGCGACATGCGTGATCCTTGTGATTGATTTGTGGGCAACACCCAAGATATATAATAATGTAACGTAAAGTGTTTTTTCTTTCGGAAACCTTATATACATAAAGGACGATGGTATGCTCTTTTTGTGGGGATCGACACCTTCCTCATGAACACTGACCATGTGGGACGGACCGTAGACGGATCGCCAGTCCAATCGGGTCTCGCGCAACGCGACCGACTTTCGTTTCGTCCGACGGAACCGCCCAGGAACAGGCCACGGAGAAATATGACACCAAGCTTGGCCTCAAGGCTCACCATTTGGTCTCGACATGACCTCATGTTCACTGGTCCAAGTTGGTCTTGCTCCCAGGGAATCTTTGAGGGTCCATGTGACGTATATATATATGGCACACAACCTCTTCGCTTGGTTGGATACCGTCGCAACTGCGCAGTCCTTCAGCCCCCTTCAGCTCACGTGGAGAAAGGGTGCCCCACCGACCCCTCCTTTCGACAAAAGCCACGAGTCGATCGATGCTTGCATGGATCCTTTGGTCACGCCGTAGCTCCACAGTTTGTCAGGCCATTTCCCAAACCATCGAGCCACTCTTGAATGCCTACCAGGCACAGCAAATGGGTCGTTTGAGCTGTTGTCGCTGTGGACATACCATGCCATGTTTGCCGAGATTTATGTTTAATTAAAACCAAAGGAAGAGCGCTGCAGTTGCAGTCGTGGTTGAACGATCATGATACACAGTAAAGAAAACATCGTTTATATACCAATCTTTCAATAGCCCCCAGTGGCGTTTGTCAAGGAAACAGATCAACTGTTAGCCATTATTATATAAGTGAATTTGGATGTTGAAAAAAAATATGACTACTGCAAAAGAAGCGGTCCTCCACAGCAAGAAAGTTGTTATACTTATAATTTATATATATATATACTTATTCCAGCACACAACCCTGAGAATCTTCGCTATGTTTAGAATTCTACTGGCTTCAGAGCACAGTTCCCCTGTAGTTGGTCAAGACTAAACTCTTTAATATACAGACACCCAAAACGCAAGTCTTGAATCTTTAAGATTGTTGTCGGCTCAGCAGCTGGTGCACCTCTTCAAAGTTGCCGTACCACGAGCACTACCAATGTTTTTTCTTTGTATAAATTAAATATATATATATATGTGTTTTGGATTAACTTCAATACCCCAGACGTCTTCCGATGGTCCACGGATGTCTTCATGACGGTGAGGCCATCCATGAGAGGCAGCTGGCAAAGAGCATCCTGGCTGAGGTACGCGTGGGAAATCAAGACAAAGATGCAGATCAACTGCAGATTTGGGTGATCTTGCCTCATTGCGTGTGCGGCAGTTGTGTTAGAATTCATAGATTCATAGTAAGTTATTTCCATGATGGCTTCATATGGCTTTAATTGTTCTTTCATGCAAGGGCTAAACATGTTACTCTCACGTGCAAGAGCTAGGGTTCACTCTAGTGCCACAAGTCAGAACTTTGGTCTTCACAATGGTTTTTCTATTTTGCTTGGGTTCCCTTGTGCATAGGTCTTTGAAGGAATATGTTGCCATCGGGCGATCGGGCCACAGGCGATGGGCGGTTTGCTGGACGACGACCAAGAGGCCAGGCGATGGACGAGCTGTATGCAGGCTTGTGATTCCTTGCGACTCTGTATTCCCCCCAAGATGGAGTGAGTGTCCAACCAACGATTCCTGGGTTTAAATGCCATGATCTAACATGATTTAACAATTCTGAGACTCCACTGCGATGCCGCTTGTGGCGATTCCTTCAACCACTGAGATTCATTTTGGGCTTCTGCAATCTTGGAATCCGTGCCAATATCGTTTGCACCACTGAGCCGAGCCACATCAACCTCACACGGTAAATGAAAGACCGAAAGACCCCTGTGGATCGATTTTTCTCAGGGGTTGTTTAGCCACAAGTGCTGAAAAGCTTAATCGTTCATTTGCTGGACTTGTTTGATGGAATTCCCAGTCTGTGAGTCTCAGCCGCTGGCCTAATAGTGCCACTTTGCAAACGAGGATTCAGACTACACCTCGCCCTTCGAAATGGCCGCACGCAGGCCCGGGCTGGGATGGATTTCCGCACACAATTGTGAAAAGCCCGCACGCTCCCAGAATTTCTGGAATTGTAGATGCGTCATTGTGGTTAGATGTCACAAATTCAAGCGACTTCCCAAAGTAGGATTCAGGCAGATTCAGGATGACTGAATCCATGCAGGCAACCGGGGAATTGCCTCCACTACAGAAAGTAGCGAACGGACCAACAGTGTGTAAGTTCACCAGACAATAACAGCATGAACGCACAAACAACGTTGGACTCGCCTAGAAGGCAATCAAAGATCAGATCAGGAAATCTGTTTTGATCGCTCCCCTGCCAGGTACATCGTCCTGCTGTTAATGTCCTTTTCCCCTGATGCCGGGCCAGCCAGCTCGCAGAATTGCCGTCGACATAATAAGTGGTGAAAGGAGAACAATCATCTCTCAGAATGGTTTGGTGCCTTAGGTATTACGTAGGTATGGTGCCACCTCCGCCAGCATTGGTTCACCTGATTGCCATACAGAGATGTGTGAACTGAGAACCTGTACTCCCCAGCCGGATTCTTGTTTACGAACATTTAGTCCTGCTTGCGGAAGTTTCGCTCTGGTCAAGAAGATCGTTGGGCGGTCATTGGAAGATGGAATGATTATTTTTAGCATGGCACGACATGCCGTGGACCCTTTTTCTTGGCCAATTGCAGTTGGATGCTGATGGGTTTGCAAACTCTGGGGCGGAACTCCCGACCTATGTTTGCACTCAGGAGGTTCGTAGATCCATCTCCCCACAAAAAGCCATCCGTGCATGTTGTGTTGTTTTGTGGGAGGATGTGGGAGGGTAAATGTTTAAATGCTGAAGATTTACCTCGATAGTTGAGAATTTGGGGCTAGACACTGGACACTGGACCAATATACTCGTCCGAGCCGGAACTCCAGACTTGCAGAGGCACCTCGATTTGGAAGATATCGCCTTAACAAAGAACAACAATGGAACCTTATAAAGAGGCACCATGGAGGTATGTTATAAGGTATTGAACTCCAGAGGCACCTTATAACTTACAACCATGGAACTTGATATTTCAACCGCCCCCGCCATGTCATCCACCCCAGAGAAGAAGAGACGACTTGAGTCCCAGCGTGATTGATCACAGCCTGCGCAGCCTGAGGCGGTCTCAGGGCATCTCGCCAAGATGAGCCGCGAGTTGTTGATGCACCCGCTCGTGAGCTTTGCCACAGAGGCCTTGGATGGTACCACGCTTCGATGCTGGGGATGAGTCGTTTTGAGGCGAAGAAGATGAGACAAGGTGAGAACGCAAAAGTTTAGGAACTGTTTTCGGTTGTGTCTCCCAATGAAAAGAATCGGAACTAACAGCTGTCAATCCGACATCTCGGGAATGGAGCTGACTATAGTGGAAGGGTTCGGTTTGTACTTGATTCCAGCCTGTTCTCAAGTTGACATGCCATTGGAGAATCCAATTCATCAATGTGTAGACATGTGTAGACTGAGTAGACCCTTGCCGAATCCCGTGGCTGCTGAAGGTCTACGCCGCTTTCCATACTGAGGACTACGCGCGGTTTCTGCGTGCCGGGCCCAGGTGACCGAAGGACGAAATTGATCTTAAGCTGCAAATTGACGGTTTGTGGGGCTTTGTGATCGCAAAGAGCTCTGTTTCACGCAGTCACGCAGACACAAAACCGGGGGGTTCAGGCACTTTCTTAGATCTTTGTTGATGCGTGGATGCAGGCATGTACAGAGAAGCGGACTTCTTGACATCTGTTTGCATGAGTGGAGTGGCTGATTTGGCAGGGACCTCGGACTTGCAAAACGAATAAAGGTTTTCATCTAATCTACCTCGATGGCTCAGTCTCGCTTGCTTCTCGCCTAACGAAGCTGAACAGCGTGGATTGCATCAGCCTGAAACCTTTGTCGCCAAGAATCTGGAAGGTCAGCCATTGATTGATGGATATCAGACAATATGACAATCTGGAAGGTGTGCTTCCAGCCAAGTTTTATTGGCCGATGCCAGGTCTCGAACATATACAGTATTTATTTATATATATATGAAGCCCAACTGATACTTTAATTAATGCTGCCGTTTCTCCTGGCTGAGGCTCGATTAAGAGCCCTGTGGCTGTTGGTGCGCAGCTCAAGTCACAAAGCACTATATATATTATACATACTGCTCAAGGTGTTTCCAAGTTAGTTTTAACAAATATCAAATATGGAAGCCATTAGGTTGTTTTGGGTTTCGAGCCCATTCTCTATGTCAGTGGATCTCTTCCGTCGATCCCCTTCGCTTCACAGGTGCGGAGCTATCCACAGGCGATCGGGGATAAGATCAGCTTAACAAAGCTGAAGAACATCTTGGCCTTTGCCAGCGACGATCACGCCAAAGCCTTCTTGGCCTTTCATGGTCTTCAGATCGTCATTGACAAGGCACCCATCTGTGTGAGATGGATGTGAATGAAACTCAATGAAACATGTTTGTGTTTGTTTTCCATTGTTTTCCTATATATTGCTTCCGGACCGATACTGGCTTGTCTTCATCCAATGACACGTCATTGCCAAGTCTTGTGCATCACTGCATTAAAGCTTGTTTCACATTCCAACACGTCCAACCCAGTGTTGACGTGTCATGCCAGGATGCTCAGGGTGGTGCCAACATCATCCTGCCGAAGAAGGGCACCCCAGAGGCGCAAAGTTTGACGCTTCTGCAGGGGCGGCTGCCGGAGAAGTGCGAATTTCCCAAGGCGGGAGCGGTTTCTGGGCCTGCGGGGCAGATGCGGTGGAAGGTCCCGACGAGTATTCGATTCTCTATAGAGGTGTGATGGAGTGTTTGCGGCAGAACATTGCAATTCGTGGGGTAATATGATAGGCCAAAGTTTGGAGTCTATGTTCCATGGTGCTGGACAGACAGTTGAAAAATATGAGGCAGTCGCGGTCGCGACAGCTGTCGGAGTCTAAAATGTGCGCACATGCAAGTGCAAGATCCGTTGAACCCTGGATATGTTTTATGTGGATTTTTGTTTTTACTTTTTTAGTAGGGATTTCTGATGGAAGCTGATGCCCCGATCAAGCTGGCGTGCGCATGCGTGCGCCAGAGGCCGTCCGACAGAAACATCATATGCGGTGAGTTGTTGCTTTGTTTGCTTGAGGCTAGCGGCTAGTGCGATCACTGTCCAATCTTGAGTTTTACATCAAGCAACAAAAATAGAACCATTCAACCATTCAAATTTAGCTGCACCAAAGAAGCTTCCGGTACACACACAATCTATATACTGTCATTCCAATGGCTTCTTCTTGATGCTTCTTGCGATGACCTCTTGCTTAGCGAGAACGTGATGTTTCATCAAGCATAGCATACTAATTTCGATGGGACGTTAAAAGTTAAGGGTTTCAGGGCCGGTGGGGGTTGTCCGAATTTCAGGCTGAACCATCTCGATTCTATAGGTAAACCAACTGCTGTGCAGATCAGCCGGGTGTTGCTGGTGACGTTCGCCGAGTTCGTGTTCCAGGGCGCCGATTCGCTGTTGGTGGCGAAGTTCGACGCGCTGGGCCTCTCCCGTGCGGAGATCGCCTTCGGCAGCGCTGACCCGGTGGTGCGACGGGGAATGCGTCCGTGGGAGGCTGTTGACAATGCGTCCATAGTCCATCTACCGTACCGTTATGTACCATTGACGACGTGATGCCCCGGATTCCCTGATGCCTGAGCAAAGCAGCACTTTTTAGGCTGGTTTGACCTGCCCATTCTCCAATTAGAACTGGTCTGAACACATATTGTGTGTTGAACATCACCCTGGTTTTGATCTCCATTTGCGAGCCCAGACTGGCTGCATCGGTGCATCGATCGATCGATGAGACAGGTTGCCATCGAGGAAGCGGAAGCGCAAGAAGCGGCGGAAGCCATGGAAGAAGGGGATGAGGCGCGACAAGGGCACCTGCTCGACCTGCCCCAGAAAACTGCATGAACACATGAAGACGGCCATCGAAGGCCAAAACGTAGCAGACTTGGTGGAGGCCAATGTTTCACCAAGAAATCTCAAGAGCAACCAGATCACAAACGCAGGAAGCACAGGCCAGTTGGGCTGGAAGATTGTATTATGGAGTCCAGGAACAATCTAACCATTTGGCAGCTGGGCCAGTTCAAGGCCACTAGCGACACTTCTTCCATATCGTTGATACAAATCATGACCGGTATATTTGTTGATGGTCACAATGCATTGTTTAGCTTTGGGAAGGCACAACGATCCTTTCCCCTTTCTCGTTTATCATGCAACTTCATAGAAGTACTGAAGTACTGGTATATAGAAGTCAAGCTCTGAAGCTCCGTTTGTAAAGGAGTAGTGAGACATGACAAACACTTGTTCACTAGCAGCACACCACCTACTGTAAGTCCGCTATCACAGTGTTACAATATCTGATCAACCAGAAGCTAAACAAATACATTGCCAATCAATCAAACCTTTGTACCTTTTTGTTTATCAAGCTCACAGCTCGTTGCCTTAGCTGCTGAGCTGGTACCTCACTTGCGACTTCGTCTCTGGAACTCCACGACTTGGTGTGGGTTAAAAAGGATGTAAATTATAACTACTGGATGTTCTTTTTCCTATTGGTTTCTTCATGGAACCATGCTATCTTAATAAGAACAGTTCATTTTCTATAAGACAGGCGAAGATTCGCTCTCGTGGAACTAAACTCGGTCATGGAGAGTAACAAGGGTCCTATGGAACTGGTACCCGCAGCTAGCTCGGGAGAGGTCTGAACGGTTGGGCTTCAACGTTTTCAGCACATCTTCAGCTGAAGCACCGGTGACACGTCGCTCTCATGTTTCATAGGTCTTGATACGGGTCTTGTACGTTCCACCAGCCTGGGAAGACTATAGGTAACCACCCGGGGAAAGAAAGGTCAGTACCGAAGGTTCATTTGAGAAAAAGCACGCTATTAGGTTGGAGGCCATCGCTATTAATTAGAAACAAGGAAAAAACAAACATGCAAGAACATTTTGTTTATTGATTTTTGTTTATATATATATATATACTGGGAAACAAAGGTTCATGATGGTTCATGTGGGGAAAACGTCCTTTGGCCCCAGGCTGAGGAGATAGAGGCGGCAGAGGCCTGGGAACCTTCTTTGCTTTGACCGAGAAATTGCACACAAATGCGTATTTTTTGGTCAATCAACTGGTGGAAGTTGTGGCATATCTATGACCCTCTAGAATTCATCACAATCCTTCATATATATATAGTTTTTGTGTTTGCAGGGTTAAAGTGTAAGGACTTTCATAGAAGTGCGTGACGGAAAGAAAAGGACAAAACATATCGGGATAGCCTGTACTGTTTAGTTACTTTTGGCTATCTGGAATGTAGAGTGACTATGAGTACTTACTACCATGTGCTTTTCGTTTCGCGACCCAAATTTGAGTCAATATGAGGTCAGATTTATTGAAGCATGGGGGTGAATCAAATTCAATGGCCTCCATGCCATTCTTTTTCAGACTGCGTCAACATGTGCATCCAAACTATCTTGTGTCACAATGTGTCACAGTGTCAAAGCATCTAGTGCCCAACTTGTTTACTCGACATATTCCTGCAAGTTGTGTTGGGGCGAGTGTGGTGATTCTCGTATAATCAGGATCTCTTTAATATTGTGTTAGCCTTCATGGCTCAGTTGATTCGGACGGGCCAATTTGAGTATTGTTGAATGGATCCCGTATGATCCTCTTTTCTCCAAAGGGGGATCATTCAACAGGGCCTGAGGATCAGAGAATCACTGAAGGATCCCGTATGATCCCGAGATAGCCAGCTCTGGAAGGGTCGTCCCACATGCTTCGGTGAACATCCATGGACATCCTCCCCGATTTGGTTGGTGCTGATGTGGTGATCCTTCCGCTCACTGGACGTTCTGTTTTAGTTGGTTTTCCGCCCAAACACTTTGACGCACAGAACCTGAGTCACACTACGGGGATCAGGGTGCCCCCCATTGGAGTGAGCCGAATCTGTGAGCATTGTGAGCTGACTGATTTGATCCCTTAGCAATTAGGAATTAGCTGGCTAGCAGATTAAGTGCTTTAATGACCCTGTGGAATCCTGTGGATGTGTTTGTTTGACCCTATCACCACTTCGGTGATCCAAGGAGCCAGCTCCTGCTGTCGAGCCGCTGACAGTTGTCGCCTAGATTGGCCAAGTTCAGTGATTTGATGAAGTTTGTTAATAGGTCCCAAAACAACGATCAGTCATGATGCTTGGATTAGAACATATTATAACGATGCGTGGTTCAAAGGACGTGATTAATGATTGAAGCTTGGGACCCAGTAGAGTGATCTTGGTTGAAGATGGTAAATCCTTACCTTCCCACAGTCAGATTTGGTTGCTTGTGACCATGACACCCTTGGAATCCCTGTAGCTTGGCCGCTGTCTAAAGCCTTTGTGCCGACCACCCTGGAACGGGGCGCGCGGGAAACGGCGCGTGCTCTGAAAAGAGTTGGGTGACCGGCGAAGACGACCTTGAACGGCCTGCCCCACATGACGCTACTAGTAGCTCCTGCCCGTACTACTTGGAACAAGAAGCAACTAGGAACAAACGGCTTCGTTACTAGTAACAATGTGCATTACTACTAGTAGCATTCTTGCTATTTGTAACCAAGGGCATCGCTACTAGGAGCAAGGACGCTACTAGTAGCTCATGGGTTGGCTGTGCGGAGCAGCCAGAAAGATGGTGAGTCGCTGCTTGCCCCAAACAAAAGCGAGCGAGCGAGCCGTGGCTTGGCGTGGACGTGACACACTGCTGGTGGTTTGTCCGTGTCAGGTGTTCCCCGGTTTGCCCTGGCTGTCCTGAGTTGGTTCATGACCTTTCTTTGTCATTTGCCATCAGTTCTTCAATCATGAGAAAGTATCAGGTGTTGACTTGAACAAAGCGGGCTTGAACTCTACACTGCAGCGACCTCTTTGTACATTCGATGTTTAAGTTTGTGTGATGAGTCATGCTTTGTACATTCCGAGTTTGTATAATGTTGGAATCATCAACGACGCGCAAGCAAAATTCCAGTGTGAAGCATTTGCACCCAAAGTGCCCCAGTGCTCGCAGTCATTTCTTTGCGCTCATTTCCCCGCACTCTTGGCACAATTTCCAAAGACCATCTTAGAGAACTTATGAGCAAATCACAACCTGGCATGATTGCCACCAGTGCTGAGGGCTCTCAATGTCCCATCATGATGGGTACATATGGGTACCCGGTACCCATTTCCCGATATCCTGGAGTAGTTCGAAATTAAACAGACTCTCCCATCTTTGAGAAAAGTATGTAGCTTCTTACAACAAGTCTATTACCGGCCAGCTTCTCAATCTACATCCAAATACTAAGAAAAACATCAGCCCAAGAAATCATCAACGGAGCCATAGTGAATGCGCTGAAAGGTGATGTTTTTTGTTGTGCGACGGTCGCCATCCCCATTTTTGTGTGCCGTTTGGACGACCGGTGTCCCTGCGAAGCCATGACGCCGGCGCAGCCGGCGGCTGGGGGTGCCCGGCAATGTCCGCCAGTCCTTGGGTTCTAGATTCATGATTCTAGGAAAAACATATGGCTTCGGTTGGTGTGAGTTTAGGGGGATCTCAAGCTCGCGCAATGACAGAGAAGCAAACGATGCAGCGCTTTTAAGTTTGCTCGCGCTGCAAAACTGCTTGAACCATCTTGAACTAATTTGGTCTTTTGTAGTTGCCCTCAAAGCGCAACCGGGTCGGTGCTCCAAAACCACCAGGTCAGTGCTCTCCTCCTTAGATCCGAGCGCCGACTCTGAGCTCCGAGGTGTGGGGTCCGCGCGAGCTGGACTATGCGGTGCATGATTTGGTCCGCTGCTGAGTTGACCGGCAGCCGTTTGTGCGATGCCCGGAAGCCGTGTTTGTGGTGAGTATACTAGCTGGCTGGTATAGACTGGTATACTTGATGGCCGAGAGAGGACTCCTTGAAGATCGGGCCCTATATTGAATAAATCTATATGAGCAAAATACTAAAGGTCGGCACTCACGTTTGTACAAAAATAAGCAATTTGCATTTTCCTTGAAAAACGATACCAATCCCAAAAACGATACCTAGCCTTGTGACGGTACACATCTTGGAATCTATCTTCGCTTATTGACACTGTTGACACTCGAGACAGTGTATGTCCAAGGTTTTTTTGTATATGGTTCGCCATGGTGGTTGGACATTCCATGTTGTTTTTGCCCATTTTCCCTTTTCTTTCTTCGATGGGAAGCAATTATGGGTTTAGACCGATACCAAAAACGATACCAACCGATACCCACTTCATAGGTCTGTATCCCCTCAGAAACCACCTGGCCACTTTCATGCCACTACTACTGCCACTACTTCTACTTCTGCTACTACTTCTAGCACCACCACCACCGCCACTACTACTACTACTACCACCACTACTACCACTACTACCACTACGACTACTACTACGGCTGCTGCTACTGCTACTGCTCCTGCTCTACTACTACTACTACTACTACTACTACTACTGCTACTGCTACTGCTACTGCTACTGCTAGTACTACTATACTACTAGTACTAGTACTAGTACTAGTACTAGTACTAGTAGTAGTAGTAGTAGTACTAGTACTAGTACTACTACTACTACTACTACTACTACTACTACTACTACTACTACTAC